AAACATAGCATAATAGGGTTCAATATGATCTAGGGTTTTAGGCATCCACTGGGGGTCTTGGAATGTCTCCCTCACAGATAAGGGAGGACTACTGTATCTCATATCTAACTTATTTTCCCAAATATTTGTTTAAAGCTAGATGACATAATTTGAACACTATATAAAAAAATTCAGCATAATCTTCCCAGGTATATATAACTATAAAGTGACATTTAGTTGTCTTGAGGTGGTATCTTAGTTATCATCAGCTGATGATAATAGATTACTCATAGGGAAATAAGTATGACTAAGGAAGCTCAGAGCTTATATTGAGCCCACCTCTTAGGGATGTAAGTAGGGTTTCTAGAAATTGAGCATGTCAATCAGTGGAATTTTACTCAAATCAGTCAGGCATAATCTCCAAGACATTTGGGCAACTCCAGTCACAAAAAAACTTTTACCACCAGAAGTTGAATATGAAGTTCTGTGTTTCCCAGCTGATAGGCAGAAGAAGACAAGAAGGCATATGCCATTAGGAAATACTGTAGGCTTTAGGTCTGGCCATTATGACAGGGATCTAGTATCCCTTCCCAGGAAACATCACAGTTTCCCTGACCTATGAATGGACACATTCATCCCCCCCCTACTTTCCATCTCTCTCCTGAGCTTCATGAGCACTTTCCCAATGGTCCCCCAAACATTTCAACTTGGATGCAATGTAAGAAATCTCAAACTCAGTAGGTCCAAAATCAAACTCAGGTTTCCCCCCCCAACCCTGTTGTTCTTCCTTTGTTTCATATTATCTACTTGTTAATACCCATGTCTACCCATGCTAAAAAATCAGAAATCAGCCTTAATCATCCCTTATCAACAATATTCAATCAACCAACAGCGAAATTCTTATCCTTAGCCTTATACTTATTCCCTTACACCTCTTTAATACTTTATAGATTTATACTCTCTTCTCCAACTTTACTATCACTGCCCTAATTCAGGCCCTCTTCTGTGGATGGCACCACTCTTGAGTTTTTCCAAACTGATCTGGTTTTAGATATGCCCTTTTCAAATAAACCCTCCTAAAAATTACCACAGAGAACTGCTTAAAATAGATATTGAAATATGTCTCTTCTCTTCTTTTTTATTTTTTTTTTAATTTTTGAGAAAGAGCATGTGAGCAGGGGGAGGGGCAGCAGGAGAGGGAAAGAAAGAATCTCAAGCAGACTCCCCACTAAGTAGAGAGCCTGACTCAGGGCTCAAACTTAAGACCTGAGATCATGACCTGACTCAAAATCAAGAGTCAGCTACTTAACCAATGGAACCACCCAGGCACCCTCAAATCACTTCCTTTCTTAAGATTCTTCAGTGGCTACCCACTTAATACCAACCCCTCAGAAGCTGCAATAGACACAAAAAGACATCCAAGAAAAGAGTGAGAGACTTTTTACTATCCTAGAATGTATACATGGATAAATGATAGACATGAGGAAAAGTGGATGAAGTGAGAAAAGAATAAAGACTTTAAATACAAATGCTAAGAGAATTTACCACTTACCCAAACTCTAAATGAATACTAAAAATTTTTTTCGACAAGAAGAAAAATGTAAGTAAAGACAACTACATAAAAAATATTATGAAACACAAATATTGGCCAAATATATCAGTAAATTAATGTTCTATTGAGACCAAAAAAACAAATGAAACAAAGTTTTCTGTTTAACAGAGGTATTTGAGGAATAGGTAAAACATACTAAAAGTCCTTGTCATTCTCAGGAAGAGAAGAGAAAAAAAAGAAAAAACAGATGAAATTAGATTTTTTAAAATAACTTTCAGTTAAATATGTAGATGTGAAAATTCAGGATAACATCTGAAATAATTAACAATAAAATCTGTAAGATTATAAACATCAGAGAATAAACAAAAAAAGAAAATTATTTTTGGTTAAAGAAATATTCAGGAAACTAAGGAAACTATTTTTTAAAAGCAAAGAAATAGAATAGCCAAAATAAATTGTAAAAAATGTTATCAGCAAATGCAAATATAACAGTAGTAACAGTATTTACAAAAACTAAACTCACCTGTTAAAGACACATACTATAACTACTTGTCTTGAATACAAAAATAAAATCCAGATTTATCTGTTAAGCTATACTCAGAAGACCACCACAGATGAGTTTTAAAATTTTAAAATAAATATTAGAAAAATAATATATGCCATAAAAATACTTATCCAAAAAATCAGGTGCTAGTGTTAGTATCAGAAGAAATAGAATATAAAATGAAGCATTCACAGATATATAGAGGGAGACTACATCTGTATAAAAGAAATAACACAAAAATTAATACTCATAAAATTGCAGGCACTTAAAATATAGAAATCAGTATTTGACAGAACTACAGGGATAAAGGGACAGATCTAGTCAGAACTGGAGATTTCATACATACTGACCACATAAATAAAAACTCAAGATAAAGACTTAAGCTTTCAAATCAAGGAGATTAAAAGATAACTCCTCCAAAACCTGAAGGAAATAGGAGGAAAGAAACAATAAAACTGAGTATAAACACATAGAAAACAAAAGATCAATGGAGAGACAGTCTTAATGGAGGCAAATGAGCTGTTGTATATTTTTTAAAAATGAATAAAAAGATAAAACTCAACCAAGACTGATAAAGAAAAGCAAAGAAGGCATATATTAACCAATATTAATAATGAAGAGAGGAACATACTAATGAAGAGAGGAACATGAATTTAATGGTATTTAAAAATTATAATAGTATTTTTATATATTTTCCTTTAGAAACATAAAACATCTATTGAATGATACACACACACAAAAAAATAGTTTCCTTCAAGGAGAAGCACTAGGTTGCTGTGGGAGGCAGATTTTATTGAACCATCTGAGTGTATCCTCTATTCAATAAAACTGTAACAAAAGGAAATAGACTTTAAAAATAATATATTATGTATACAAACATATATATATTATCTGTATAATATAAAACATATATTGCATTATATATTTAATATATGTATATATAATATTGCATTATACATATGTATGTAATATATGCATAATATATAATACTATGACTAACTTAATTTAATTGTTTTTTTTAAATTAATTTTTATTGGTGTTCAATTTACCAACATACAGAATAACACCCAGTGCTCATCCCATCAAGTAATTTAATTGGTTTTTCAAATGAATTAAATAGAATGATTGAATAATCAGTAACAAAGATTGAATTAGAAATCAAATGATTCCCATGATTTATCCCACATTAAAAAAAAGAATCGAGAACTTTTACAGATCAATAAGAAAACAGTTTCAAAAATGGCTCAAAGGAAAAGTGAACAAAATATGTGTATAGGCAATTCATGAAAAGCAAAACCCAAAAGGTCAACAGAAACATATGAAAAATATGCTCAAACTTAGCCACATTCAGAGATACTCTGATTAAAACAATGGGATATTATGTTGCAATTTTTTTGGCAAAAATGATTATAACAAAGATTGATAGGATGTGAGCCAGACAAACTCCTACATAGCTGTTAGAAGGGCAAATTGACACTACTTTGCTGACAGTGTGTCACTATGCTATACATTTTAAAATTGTGTGCCCTGTGATGTAGTGGCTCCTCTCTCCAGGACAGGAAATATCTTATACTCTAGCGAAATTTGCCCCTCTGTGCACAAGAACGACATGTCCAAGAATGATCACTGTAATCTCGCTTACAGTAGATTAAAACTTGAAACAACAAATAAGATAAAATAAACAAATTTGGTTACAATCACGTATGTTGCCATGTATGCAATTATACAGCAGTAAAATCAATAAATCAAAAATACATAAAAGTGTGTCCATAGGAGTTGTGTAAATCTCAAGGATAATATTGAGAGAAAATAAAGTTGCAGAAATAGATATAAAGCATGGTAATTACACAAACTTTAAAAACATAGAAAAGATATTACGTGTTGTTTATAATTACATACATATGTAGGAAATGTATTGAAACATACATGGAAATGATCAATAAGAAGTCTCAGAGGGTCAGAAACAAAATCAGGAAGTGGTTCGCAGAAGCCTTTAATCACATGTAAAATGTTACTTATTTAAAAAAAAAGATGTATAGCAAAGATGCAAAATAGCAAGAATGAACACAGCTGGGTACTAATTACTGGTTTATGTTATTTTTGTATACAGTATGTTTAAAATATTCAACAATTTCCAAACTAAAAAATAAAATCTCGACTACAATGCCTGGTACACGAAAAAAAAACATGTATCACACGTAATTATTATCACTGGTAATCCTTCTAACATTAGAATTATTCTGGTAACACTATAGGTGCTGCTATCCATACTACAAGTAATACTATAATTACTACAACTACTACCAATCCATCCCCTACTCTTGCTTTTTTCTAATACTATTATTACTGCTAGAGGACCCAATCTGTTAAAGAATCTCGTGAATCTTTTGGTAAAGGAAATAACTGTCTTGCAAAAAATAATAGTCATTTCTAATATATCTCTTCTGTAGGCTGAAACTTCTGTATGTGAAATAGTTCAAAGAATGCTATTTGCTCATTTAGTGCTTGATTAAGCCAGTCTTTGAAAACAGAGGTTTATAAAATAAACTACATTATTTGAGAACTTCCTTCTGAGACTGCTTCTTCTTGCAGAGCCATGTGTCGGTTACCACTCTTGTGAGCAAGCAAGAAAGCCTGGCTCTAGAACTAAGAAACAAAATAAGTCAAAAAGCTCCCCCAAAAAACTAAAAAAATATTTTTAGAGCCACAACGTATGGAGAAAGTCTTGCGTTTCAATGAAGCAGTGTTATAATTACTTAATAATTAAGCTATATGAAAACTGATGTTCTTGTCAATGATTACATTCTCCCTAAGCATAATGGCATAGAAAGAAATGTATTAATAATTAAAACTTCTTTCTCAGTTTTCTGAAACATAACACAACTGGAAGTATTAGCAAAAGAATGCTGAAAATGGTCTACTAACCCTGAGAAGAGCGTAGGGAGGATTTAGCTTTATCATCCAATGACGCACAAATGGTTTCCTCTGTTGGTCTCTCTGAAAGGCCAGGCGTGTTCTCCACGCCTGGTTCTGCTTTCTGTGCTTCAGCCATTAAAGAAACTGGAAATTCAGGGGGAAGCGGAGTTTGTCTTTCATAGGTTTTTTGATCATCCAAATACAGAGGAAGTTTAATAACCTATTAGGAGATAAATCTCTTATCTAAACTGTTGAAAACATGACACACACAGTTAATGTACCCTAGAACACTGAAACAATTTGCAAACTCTAAAAGGTCAATGATGAATTTAATTTTCCAAACCTTATATTTGCTTTTGTTTGGCTGCCTTACAAAGAATGCATTTTTTTTGTATTAGCAGATTTACATAATTGCTTCAGATATTACCATTGCTTTATATAGTTCTTTGTTTTTTCTTTGTCTTGCCTCATAATTTTCTCTCATTTCTTCTCGCAAATAAGACCGTTTTTCTGATATTCACACTGGGATTGAGTTAGCAAATATACATTCAGTAATTGCTATCTCCAAGAAATAGTATCTTTAGTTCAAATATAAAAGACAAGATTGTAGAATCCAGGGGGTGAGCAAATGGGTATTCAATGTTCAATTTTTTTTTCAACTTTTCTCTATGTTTACAATTTTAATAATTAAGGGCTTGGTGGAAATCATCAATGACACGGGGAGTGAAATATTTAGAAAAGTGAGGAAATTGTTCTGGGAAGAAGTTAAAGACTATCTTGCTTTCATGGTTTCTCCTCTTGCATTCTTTCACACACCCTATGGGAGGTGAATCAGATCTGTTCTATGTCTACACTCAAGGTGGGAGCCGGAAATCTATGCCTAATAACGTGGTAGGACATGTGAGGTCATGGCTAAGCCACATGCCCTGGCTCCACCAGCCCTTTTGTGAGTGTGGCACTTTCCTCCTACTAATAGACATGGGAGGGAAATGATCATCATTTATCTCATTTCCTTCAATCTCTTCTAAGGCTGCATTATAGAAACCACTTTTCTGTTCTAGTAGCTGGTTTACCTATTTTTTCTGTGCCCTATTTCAAGCTATGTTTTTTCCTGAGTAACTCCAAAAAGTGCTACTCAAAACTTACATTTACATGTTTAAAAATTGCATTTGAGAAAACTTGACATTGGAAAAATCTTAATATTTTAGAATTTCACATAAGAGGAAAATCGGGCTTCAAAATAAGCAAATTTCGGTTTTATGCTCATGAAAGAGAAGCAAACACATTCCTATTTAGTCTACCTTACAATCAGAAAATCATATCTTGACTAATGGCACTATTTTCATTAGTAAGATTCACACTAACCCCCCCAACCCCATGAAATATACAGAGAGAGAAGATGTGCTACCAAATAAGAAAGTTAGTAGACAATTACAACCACTGTAATGAATAATGGCCAGTGGGCTCTACAAATAAATCATAATATTACTTTACACCAAAACTTTTAAAAGGGAGTCAGGAAAAAAAGAAGAGAATTTTTGTAATGTGTCCAAATCCAGTAGATATTAGTGAAACCAAGCTTTCAAATGCTACTTATCAAAGAACTACTTTTCTTGGCCTTGTAAATTTTAAACATCACTTCTTGATTTATCTCAAATATAAAATATTTATATCTTTACAAGCAATACAAGTACTACCTAAATGATCTTTTATGAAATATAATTTGTGCTGACTTTCCTTGCTATAATTTACAGACCACTGAGTTTTAGGTAACAATTGGTAAAAAAAAAAATTATAGATGTCTTTCACATTAGCTAGTAAACCTATATAAAATTTATTTTCTTTTATGACTATTTTTTATTTTTATTTAATTTTGATTTCTTGGTACAGTATTCAAGTCACCAACTTGTTAAATATTATGTTATGGGCTATCTATAGTTTTCTTCAAAATTTGGGCGGTTGTTTAATAACTCCTTTGGATTCATTTTCAAATGTATTTATATCAGTATTTCTAAACCTTAGAAACTTTTAAAAACTTCTGATCCTAATGCCTGACCTCAAAACAATTAAATCGAAATCTCTAGGAACAGGACCTGAGCATGGGATTTTTAAAGCTTCTTTAATGATCCCAATGTAGTCAGATTTACCTCAGAAAGGCACTATTTTCAGAATGAGTAGAAAGGCCATAGTTAGATTTAGATTTATTTTCCTAACAGGAACCTATAATATCTCAAAAAAATATTTCAGCAAAACACTTTAATGGAATTCGCTAAAAGGAAAAAAAAAATGCCAGCAGATTCAACTTAAAATATATAGGAAACAGGAAGCCCATCACACAAGAAGGATATATAGCTGATGATTTTTAAGCCAAAACTCTATCTGTTTCCTGGAATGTCCATATTTAATAGTTCCATCACATAGGTAGATAGATGATGGTGACAGATAGATACATACATACATAGATTAGATTAGATCAATTGATAGCCACCTTGTCAGTTAGCTAGACAGACAGATACACATAGACTGGGAAAAGTCACACATGTAAATTAGCAAGAAAAAATTGCATTTTATGTTACAGGCACTGTGGAAAGACATCATAGGAAGAATAGATTTGGACATTTAGGACAGAAATAGACTAAAGTTGTGCTAGAATGCTTTATACTTAATGTATGCTGCCATTTTTTTTATTTTCCATGGTGTTTGCTTAGAATGAATTTATGCAATGACATTTCTGCTAAAAAAAAAAAAAAGCTTGGTTAGAAAATATATCTCCAAATATATACCAACAAATGGTATGTGCCCAAGGATTTTTTTGGAGTGCTTTTTGTTTTTAATTTTTGTGGTAAATAAGACAGCATGCTTTGAAGTGATAATGGCCATTTTATCCTGTGGAAATGTGGTTTATTAATTATCTTTTTTATGAGCACATGCCTGTCTCATCAAATAAATGGTAAGCATCCAGAAGGCAGAGACTATATCTAACCTCTTGTGTATCCTTAGAATAAGCATTGCCCAACACACAATAGTAGCTCAGTTAGTATTTCCAATAAAGAAACATAGCCTTATACCCAAGCTGGTGAGAAAGATCAGCTCCAGCAGAAACAGGTGGTAAACTGAGAGTTGAAGGACTTGTGTGCCTTTTCTGGGCCACTCATGACTCAGAAGGTTGGATTAGATTTTCTTTAAGATTTCTGCCCATTCTAGAATTGTATTCCTTATTTGTAGATATCAATTTAATCAGTATCAAGAAAGCATTAGGATGTGATTGCTTTTACAGATTTATGATACTTATTGAAATTTTCAATAGCCCAAAAGTAAGGTGAAGGCTAGAAATAAGAGCTTTAGAAAAATTCTAAGTTCTTTTTCCACTTACAAAATCATATTACAAACCTGAAAGTAGAGATTGCACAGCCAGTGGTCCAAGTCCAGGCAAATCAAATCTTCCATTTTCTTGAAGTTGTCAAGTGTCTGGTCATAATGTCCCCGGAGAAGGGGACACTTGAATTTTCCCTCCACTACATCAAAGTTGTTATCACACAAAGGGAAGGCTGCCCAGCCCATAACGCATTCAAAAGAAACATGTCTACCACGAAGGAGACAGAGTTCAAACAAGAAAGCCATGCCAGGTTTCACATCTTTCTTAGGAGGGAGTACCTGGGAAAAGATATCAAGACAAGGGAACGTTAAGATACTTATACATAGAAACGTGCTATAGTCAATGAAGTTTTATATTATTTAGAATTAAGTAAAAAGTGGTTTTTTTAAGATTTTATTATTTATTCATGAGAGACACACAGAGAGAGGCAGAGACATAGGCAGAGGGAGAAGCAGGCTCCCTGTGGGGAGCCCTATGAAGGACTCAATCCCAGGACCCCAGCCAGGATCATGACCTGAGCCAAAGGCAGACACCCAACCACCTAGGTGCTCCCAAAAGTGGGTTTTACTTCTATTTTTGCCCTTAAAAATTTGCCATTGTTAATAATGCTGCAATAAACAAAAGGGGGGTGAATATATTCTGTCAAGGTAGTGTTCTTGTTTTCTTTGGGTAAATATCCAGTAATGAAATTATTGGATCACATGGTATTTCTCTTTTTTTGGGGGGGGGATTTCATACTGGTTTCCACAGAAGCATTATTATAATAGCCAGGATATGGAAGCAACCTAAGAGCCCACTGAAAGACAAATACATAAGATGAGATATATACATATAATGGAATATTATACAGGCATAAAAAGGAAGAGATCAGAGGTTCCTGGGTGGCTCAGCAGTTGAGCATCTGCCTTTGGCTCAGGGCATGATCCCAGGATCTGGGATGGAGTCCCACATGGGGCTCCCTGCATGGAGCCTGTTTCTCCCTCTGCCTGTCTCTGTATCTCTCTGTGTGTCTCTCTTATAAATAAATAAATAAATAAATAAATAAATAAATAAATAAATAAATAATTTTTTTTTAAAGGATGAGATCATGCCATTTGCAACAACATGGATGGAGCCAGTGGGTAAATCAGACTGAGAAAGACAAATTCTATATGAGTTCACATATGTAGAATCTCAAACAAACAAACAACAATGACAACAAAACAAATAACCATCGAATAAAGAGACAAAAAGCAGAATCAGACCCGTAAACACAGAGAAACAAATTGATGGTTGTCAGAGGGGAAGGGGATGAGAGCATGGGCAAAATGGGTGAAGGGAGTGGGAGATACACAGGCTTCCAGTTATGGACTGATTAAGTCACAGGAACTAATAGCACCGCATAAGGGACATAGTCACTGATAATGGTAATTGGGTTGTATAGTGGCCCATGACATAGCTTCCTATGATGAGCACAGCACAACGTTTAAACTTGTCAGTTCACTGTGTTATACACTTGAAACTGATGGAACATTGTATGTCAACTATGGTCAAAAAAAAAAAAAAGAAAGAAAGAGAAAAATTCACTATTGGATGCATTTATATAAATAACCTTTCCAGCCCAAAGGAATTGAGCAACCATGGCACCATGAATATGTAACCCAAACAGGACAAATTTGATGCTGCCAATTTAAGATTCTGTACATTATGAACTTTGAGAATCAATCTTGTAATAAGTTAACATAACACCATATACTGTACATTCAGCCCTTTTTTTGCTTGAGCTGGTACTTCTGTTGTATAACTACTTCTATCAGTTGTCACGATCATTGTTTTGCTCGCCTGTCACTCATCTTTGTAGTGCTCATGTACCCAGCACAGGCGCTTCATATGGAAGAAATGCTTTTCAAAAAAAAAAAAAAGGTTGAACAAACTATCATACTCCAGGGAAACTAATCCCAGGCATGATGATAGCTTGAATTACTATTACAAGGTTTACCTCTTTAAGGAAAAATAGTGTCCTATTTTGACTATCCCATTTATTTCAATAGACACTATAATACACATCACTGTGTTATCAGTTTGTTGGTGTTCAATAAACAGTGCTAGGTATAAAGATTAATGAAATGATCAGATTGACCAAACCATCATTCCAGGCCCCAGTTACAGAGATGGAGCTTGTGCTTTGACCTTTTAAAAAAGAATTTTAGGAAAGTGTGAGACATGAATAATCCTTTTTTTTTTAATAGAGTATAGGTTTGAGTTTAATTTTAAAATTCTATGTGAATAACTATAAATGGGCAAAGACAGGGACTTCCCTAAGACTATTTTATAGCAGTATATTTAGCCAAAAGTCTGTAGGCATATTTTATATGATTTATGTAAATATTCCAAGACTTAGTTTATGTTTTAAATGAAACAGAAGCATCTGTTGAAAAATACCATAACCCTGTGGCAGCTGCTATTAAACCATTAACAGGATCAGGTTTCATTTAAACCAGATTTACCATTTTCTACAACAGCCCATGGGAAAGCTAAAAACATTAGACACAAATTACTGACAAAAGAGATTCTTAATCAAGCCATACTTTTCATTTGGCTATTTGGCTGTGAGTAACCTTTGTGATAAGAAAATAAAAGCTAAATGAGAAGGAAGAAGAGGAAAAAATGGAGTCAGAAACCTGTTTTGGATCATCATTTAAAAATAAAGCTGAACTGATGTCATTACAATGATTTTTTATCTATTTTCAATCCTGCCTTTCGAAGCACCCCTCTCATGCTAACCTGATCTGACTCAGTGATATGTTTGAAGTAGATAAAGCAAAAATTTGTGTGGTACTGACCCAATTCTATTGTTAAGTTTCTGTGGTCTCAGGCTACTCACTTCTTTTTTTGCATCAAGTCTTTGATGCACTCAAGTCTCCTCACCAATAAAAGACCAGGAGAAGAGCCTGGGTGGCTCAGTCAATTGAGCATCTGACTCTTAGTTTCAGCTCAAGTCATGATCTCAGGGTCATGAGATCAAATCTCCCTCTAGGGTTCTGTGCTCAGCACAGAGTCTACTTGAGATCCTCTCTCCCTTCCCCTTTCCCCCTCCCTTTTCTCTAGAATAAGTAAATGAAATTTTAAAAATAAAACAAATAAAAGATGAGGATATAAGTATCTTCCTCACAGAATTGACACAACTATCAGGTTGGACAATAAATATAAAAATGGTCAGAAAAACATGAAATGCATATAACTATTATTATTCTTTTATTATTATGCTAAGACTTTATCTCCACTATTTCTAAGATGAGCTAGATTACAATTTATTTAATAAAGAAGAAAAGAATATATCAAGGTTAAAGTTCACCTCTAAATGTATCAAACACCAATATCATTTCGTGTATGAGGAACAATAGTTCAAGTCTACCAAACATAACCTATTACCATCAGGCAGCATGTGTCTGCTGTAACATTGTCAATAAGAGGCCAGTCCTCATGCACAAAAGGAAACTCCACGGCAACCTATTTTACAAGATAGAAGAGTCATACACAACTACCTTGACAGCTGTAAAAAATAATAATAATAATAAGTACATGAACTTGACAAAATCTAGTCATTGATATTGATTGAAAAGGAGGATAAGAGCTATATGTTATAAAATAAAAGCATTTATTTTATCTGACAATACTTGTCTTATTTATTCTTTTAGTGTCTTTCCCTCACCCTGTATCATAGGAGAAATGTGCTGCTCTATGTGTAGCTTGGGACTCATTCTTTTCCTCTTTTGGCAAAAGGATCACTAAGTTTCATTGTGTCTCTCAGAGGATCCTTTCCACAAACCTGAATACTTCCAAAGCTGTCTTATGATGTGATATTTCCATGAACATTTTTCTTTTTTTTTAAGATTTTATTCATTTATTTGAGAGAGAAAGAGAACACAGGTGGAGGGGAGGGGCAAAGGGAAGGGAATAGCAGGCTTCCCACTAAGCAGGGAGCTGGATGCGGGGCTCCACCTGGTATCATGACCTGAGCCAAAGGCAGAGGCTTAACCAACTGAGCCATCCAAGCGCACCCATGAGCATTTTTCAATAGCTTTCTAATTGAATGCTATACAATGAAGGAAATTAATGTATCAACCAGTCTCTGCCAACCACCAATGCCATCTCATCACAAGAGTCCTGGGGATTGGGGGGTCATAATGTCCCTTATTTGTACCAAAAAGAGCATACTTTCTGAAGAAGGAGACACTGCAAAACTAAATTTCACTGGGTGATGCAGTTCATCTTCCATATCACAGAAACTGCATGTGAAAGGAGAGTAATGAACAAGCCAAATCCAAGAAGCAAACAAGAATATTGAAGGCTGAAGGATGCATGGAAAATTGGAAGAGAAAGTAAAATCCTTCCCACTTGAACACCAAATACTTTGAAAGTGAAGCAAATCAGAGAGGATTAGGGTAGTCTTACAAAATCATGAAAATGAAAAAAAAAATCATGAAAATGTATATTAAAGTATTCTTCAATTTTCTGGATTTTCTGGAATTTCGCAAAGAATTGTTATTTTTATAATCAGAAAAAAACTAACAAAGTGATTTCAAAAACAGCAGCCCTTCATGGCGCCTGGGTGGCTCAGTCAGTTTAGCATCCACCTTCAGCTCAGGTTATGATCCAGAGTCCTGGGATCAAGCTCTGCCTTGGGCTCCCTGTTCAGTGGGAGCCTGCTTTTCCCTTTCCCTCTGCCACTCCCCCTGCCTGTGCTCTCTCTCTCTCTCTCTCTCTCTCTCATTCTCTCTCTCAAATGAATAAGTAAAATCTTTTTTAAAAAATAAAATGAAATGAAATTTCAAAAAAAAAAAACAGAAGAACTTCAAAGTTCTGCTTCTGCTTATGAGAGGAACGACCATAAATGACCATATTTCTCCCTGTAACAAAGAAAAAACCACCAGCTAAATTACATAATTACGTATATTCTTAAACCCATGGGGGAACTGAGGACACAAAGAAACTGAGGGAAATTAAATCTTGGAGATGGATAAGCCTTTCATAAATGAGCGAGGACTAGAGGGAGGCTTTAATCTCAGGGAACAGGTGAGGGAGCAGACCTGTCATTGGGTGGGAGACTTTACAGGTCAAAAGAAAAACTGGCCGAATGTTTAGCAATCTTGGACTAACATGGAATATTGAATACATAGGAGCCCCAGATACACATCGAGTCCTCACTATCCACCAACCTGAAGACTTGTATCCAGTGCTCAGCAGCATGTGGGTAATTGGGTCCAGGGTAAGAGTCAAAGAGAGATCTCCAGTGGCA